CCGTATCGATCAGACCTTCTCTTCCAGCCATACAATGAAAGAAAAATTCTTGCGGACGAATACCAGTCATAAAGCGTTGGGCAACAAAACCTCCCGCACGGGGATCAGTCTCGTAGGGCTTGAATGAAGGCAAAGATCGGCCGGACATCATAAGAGGGACGCGTCGACCCTCTAACTCGATTTGGCCCAAAAGGCATGAGATTTGAATGGCGTTCACTGAACCCCCCTTAGCCCCCGCCTGTATCATCATTTGTAAGTTATTATATGGAAACTTACTAATCAGACCACTCGGTAAACACACTTCAGTTATTTTATTATTAATTTCGTCGGTCTGCCCTTTCATGCATTGATCCAATTGTTTCATATAGAAGTCATTGGTATTCGTGTGCGCGCTCTTCAGTTTGTCAATTAGCAGTTCTTTGTCGTCATTTTCCTGAAGACCCATCGCTTCTGCCGCCGCTTTTCGACCCATCTTTTTGGCCCGTTTTATAAACTTATTTCGCTTTTCATTTGGCATTTGGTCGACGAGAATGTCGTAAATACCTAAAGTAAAACCTCTGTGTATTTGCAGATAATTAGTGCAGAGACGGGCAAAACTGGTGAGAAGTGCCGACGAGACGGGACCGCCATATAATTCATAGCAGCAGTGAATCAAACCGTATGGGTTGGGACCCAAATTCACTNACAACAACAATAACAATAGGGATCGGCGTAAAGACAAAGATGGAAGGGATAGGTATGACTCGCACGACAGACCGCCGCGAATGTCGCAGACTTCGAGCGGTGAGGAGGAGGAACGCAAACAACAGGTCAGTCCTCTAACGACTCCTAATAACGTTGATAGTCGTAATGATTGATTGATGTGTGTGTTTGAAGGCTTACATAACATCTAATAAATTCGCACATTTGAACGACGAAGAGGACGGCGGCGGCGCTAACCCGACCAACGACTAAACCGTCGACTTATTTTCACTGAATATTTTTATTTTGAATTTCGAGAGCAAATCGCAATTGTATTTGAATGTCATGTTTTGTCGTGTTTTTCTTAACTGCAAAACTGTTTATAATTTTATTTGAATTTTCTCTCTTTTTCCAGTTTTATTACATTATATTAAGAATATATTTAATGATAATTTGAAAATATTAGGCATTTTTGTCATATTTTTTGTTTGTTTGTTCTTTTGTTGAACTAATTTATTATACGGCCATTGAGTAAACCATTTGTCAAATATTCTCCCGATATTTACGGCTAATTATTTTAATAGATTTTTTATTAAACGTATATACAATTGAGAGTTAATAATCGACTTTAAATTAATTGTAAATTATTTAACTATTTCTTTGTATAACAAAGACATCCGTTGTGTATAACAATTGATTAGATATGAATTATAGCCATACGATTGGAGTGATGGCAATGACGGCACTGTTGGCCAAATATATGTATTTTAGTAGCAAAAGCACTCAATCTTTATATCTGATATTATTTTCCAAATTTCTATTATGTATTATAATTTATAAATCAATACATAATAATAAAAATTATATATTATTCAGTTTTAATACAAAACAAAACGTTTACTTCATTTCAAAACATGAAATTATTTATTTTAATTTAATTAAAAATATAGTTCCAACGGAACTAAATATATCTTTGATTGGTTTAACAGCGAATAATTTCATGAATTAAGGCACAGTAATTATGCGACAATAGATTTATACGGTATATAAAAGTAAAACTTTCGTCAAATTTTAGTATCTGATAATTAAATGAAATATAAGTGACTATAAACTGAATTTTATTCGTTTATTGAGAGGGGTTTCCCCCAATTTATTCAAATTGAATTTCCTCTTAAAACCCGAATTCCTGTTTGACTTCCATTTCGAGGACTGAATTACACTTCCAAACGTTTGGTTGGGTTTAGTGCCGGTCACTAACACTGGATTGCAAAGGGTCTCAACAATACCTGTGCCCACAACTGATGGCCTGCCAACTACTATACGGGCCGAAGGAGACGATAAATCATCGGTCAATCCTTTATAAATGGGATAAACAATTAATTTGATACCGAATTTAAGAGAGAAAAGGTTGTAATTACCGATGAGTGCGGCGTTCTTCAAGAAAGTAGTAGTGGTTTCGAAAGTCATGGCCTGAATGGGTGAAACGCCGTCCATTGACTGTCTGTTCATTCCTTTGATTTGTCCGCTGAATGTCATGTAATCGGATATAAGCGAAAGATGTCTGGCGTCCACATGAATGCCGTAAACTGCAAACACATTAGAGATCTCTCGTTGAATAGCGTGAGCGCCCGCTTCAATGCCATAGGTATTGGCGATGGCGTGGATGTCATTCGTGTAGATTCTGTTTATGTCGAATATATGGTCGTAAAGAACGACATCTAATATACCAATGCCTTCAGTCTTGAGAAGTTTGCCGAATGTGTCGCCCCTTTTGGCCGCTTTGGGGTCTTTGACGAGAAACGCGCGTTCAATTCGTCCCACTTTATGGATATAGGCTTTGTTGGCCTCCTCTTCGATAAGTGAAGTCATATCTAATTTACTGTTGAGTAAATCGTATTTGATTTTGAGTCGACACCACTCCTCCCGATGTGTGTCGAAGTCATAGTCAATAATAGTAGTGCTAATGTTCTTCACTTTATTGAGTCGTTCATCGCGTTGTGCCTCGAGTTCCGCGCGTCGGACACTCTTTCTTCGCTTCATTTGCGTTCGTCTATCACTTTGGCCCTCATTTGCAGTCATTTGTTGCGAATCATCGTTCAAATCAATGTCCACCTCAGCGACGGTCTCATCGGTTATTTCTTCGATGTCAGAGTCGGCTATCACTTGAATCTCTTCGTCATCCGGTTCTTCATATTCGAGGTCCTGATTGTGTCGAGATTTGTTGCGGAGAGCAGTGGTGTCTCCGTCGTCGTGACCGCCATTCTCTTCATCAGAACTCATATCTTCTTCGTTGTCATTATGGGTGACATTGTTTTTGTTCATATCAAACGAGTCGTTAGAGTCGTCGTTATCTCCGTTTTCGGTGTCTTTGGTTTTGATCGTAGTTTTAACGCGAATCGAGTGATCAAACAATCCGTGAGATTTGGATAATATTTTAATCCTTTTACTAATGGAATCAATCAATATCTTGAAAAACTTATTTTCCATATATTTTAAAACATAACTCGATTTTGTATAGCATTTGTTTTTATATAGTTTTTGCGGCAAAAACTGAAACTTAAGATCATATGTACGGTTACGAAAGCATTGGTCAATTTCAAGTGTTTCCGACACGTCTACAAACTCGAGCACATCCGACAGTTTGACTGAAGTTAGCTTTAATCGCATTCTTTCCGCTTCCAATTCGATATCTCCGTCAAAGTTGCGGACAAACGGAATGTCTAAACTCGGTGTCGATATCTTAGGGCTGGCAGTCATTAGGATTTCTCTGAGTCGAGGTATTCCTAGCGTAACATTCATTTCTCCTCTTCCGGCGAAATGAAACGTATTGAGCGTCATCTGAGTTGACGGCTCGCCCACAGACTGGGCGGCCAACAGTCCAACCGCTTCTCCCGGTTGGCACAGACTCTTCATATAATAGGAATTCATTGTCTGTTTGTATTCTGCGGATGATATGCTTAATGGTTCCGACGGGTTGTTCAGAAGATGGTCTGGATTGTTGTAAATATATTGACTTATAATTGCATCCAAGCGTTCACTTATTGACCCAATGTTAACATCAGGCCGAAAGACACTCGTGATGGGGTCGGGACAACCCTTCGATAACTTCACATATTTTTGTTTGCGTTTAGTCTTCAATTTAGTCCATTTGGTGATCATGTCTTCTTTGGACATTGCATTCTCATGAGCCATATGTGCGGAGAAACTCAAGAACGCAGATCTCCTGTCTTTGAGTCGAAAAGTGTTGTTTTCACTCAACCATTGCTCGATTCGCTTCTGATATGACAATAAATTTTTATCTTTTCTTTCGTCTAATATTTTCAATTCCTTAGAAGTGGGTCTCAAAGCGTCGTTATTTTGTATCACAATTGGTATGACTTTCTCTTTAAGCATTTGACTCTTAAGAATGTCGAGTCCGTCCTCTCCATAGAGTAATTGAACAACACTTCCCTCACTATCTCTAACAGTCATATCGTAATTAACAACCAGTCCTTCGAGATGTTTGATTAGACATCTCTGTAAATATCCAGAACGAGATGTCTTCACTGCCGTATCGATCAGACCTTCTCTTCCAGCCATACAATGAAAGAAAAATTCTTGCGGACGAATACCAGTCATAAAGCGTTGGGCAACAAAACCTCCCGCACGGGGATCAGTCTCGTAGGGCTTGAATGA